TTGAGTCAGCTGCCTTGGAGATGGGATTGCCTTCCAACTCTACAGGGATGATTGGGAGCAGAGCTGAGAACACAGCCCTTTGATTCTCTTTGCCCCATGCCTGGCCTAGCCCAATAAATAAATATACTTTTTCACTGCATTGGTTCTAGGAACTGCAGTCATGGCCTAACCCCATTGAGTCAGGCACCCTAGGAAAGTGGAAAGTTCCTGCGTTAAAAAGGTTACAGTCAGTGTAGAAAACAAGAGACCATGGGGAAGCAGGAGAGCAGTGAGGCAATAGAAAAGGAAATGGATACATCTGTCTCTATAGGTGCATCCATACTTTGAACAAAATCTCCTTTGCTAGTTACATGACAAACGTAAGAGTCTGGCCCTGCAAGATTTTGTACCAGTCTCACTGACATCACAGTTCAGCTGGGAATGGTTCATTGATGTTGGTGGGAATTCTAGGAACTTGGCACCTCTCCAAGTTGGGACTTTCTGTGACCTACAGGTCAGTTGGATGTCTTTGGTGCTTAATGTAAATAACAGTGGCTCCACTCAGGAATCGGGCTCCAGTTTTTATACACGGGGTTGTACAAAAGAATTAAGCAAAGAGTCTCTGCCCCATGGAGACCACAGTTTTTAAATTATGACAAAACATTTGAGTGGGTAAATGGACCAACTCTTTAGGTACCAGGGGGAGCAGAGGAACAGTTCTCTCCCCAGCCCCACCAGGCTTTCCTTCCTCTGTTTCATACTCTGGTGGCTCTGTTTCATATTTTGATAACTACAGGGGCCAGACATGTGGTGTTACCTAGCTCTTCACTATGCTGTGTCTTGTTTGGCATACAGTCTTGAGAGAATGGTATACCATTCTCTGTTGCACAGATGCTTCCTGCATGGTTTGCTGCTTGCTCTGCTGCCCTTCACCAGACCTAAGAGCAGGCTGTTGTCCATCATCCAGCAGATGCAGCCAAAGAGCTTCCTCCTCATTGCTTATGTTCTGCACCAGACTGCAAGCAGTTTTCTGCAGTGGTTCATTCAAAGGCTAGTTGTCTTCGTGTTGCCTGGAAGGTCCGTTTCACTAGAGCATATAGCACAGAACACATGCATTTGAGCAGCCTGATTTTTCTGCTTAAGGAGATTCTCTTGTCTTGTAAGAGAGTGGCACATTTGCATAAATTAGTAGTCACAGGAGGCCAACATCTTAATGACTACCAGATGGCAGAGATTTGTTGGCATTGTGGCAGAGGTAGATTTTAATAGATTGGAAAAAGGATAAGCTAGTAGCTTTGTGATTTTTATTTTTTTTTCCCCTAGGAGATCTTAAGTTACTCCCTTCATGTTAGACTGTTTATATTTGAGTTTATGGCAGATTAAGCAACTGAACCTAATGGAAGATGGCTAGATCTTTTTTTGCAAATGGGAAATGCCTGAGTATATGGACAATCTCATTAAAGAAATGATAGCCCTGTTTTTCCCTTGGCCAGGGCAGTGCATAAGGCAATCTTCACTCATTTTACAATACATAGTTATGAAGGCTTCTCTTCTATCTTAGTGCTGTTTGAACTTGGAACGTTGTCAGAGTTCTCTTTAGGAACTATTTATAGGGGAAAATGCATCTTTTCGAAATGAAGGCTTTATGATACGACTGTGAAAACTATCTTCCCCCACTATTCCTACTGTAAGCCCTGCTGTTAAGAGCCGTGAAATTATCTTTTCGTGGCAGATGGGAGCTGGTTGGAAAATGATCTTAAGTTTAGCCTGTAATGTGAGCTGCTTCCTCTGCCTGGCCTTAACCTGTCCTTTTTATTTATTTATTTTTAGCAATTATTGTTCTTCATTAGATAATTTTCATCCTCCTGTTCTTACTCTCCTGTCCATATTTTAATCCAGTTTAGAAATTTCTTGCATTGAAATTCTTACCATGCCCCATACTTACTGCTTTGGATCATGCAGATTCCACACAAGCAACACTTTCACTGAAATCAAGGGAGCATTTTTAAGTTACAGTGTTATATCCCTTAATAAATACTAAGCTCTCTTGTGATCTCTAGGTGACTTCCGAAATTGTTGGTTTTTCTTAGGTGGTATCTAGTTTGACATGGAATAACTGTATTCTGATTGATGCACAATTAGCTTTAATGGCTCCAAAGAGACCACTAAGGAATGAGCAAATAGATGCTTTAAAAACTATTTAGATGAGGGTTCATACAGCCAAGCCCTATGACTTATTTTTTTTCTTGTCATCTTAACTTTGTGTCAATAGCAGCTTATTCTTTAAATACATCAGAAATTTGACCCACTGTGCTTTCCTTGACTCAAACTCCCCAACATGATCTACAAAATGTACTTAATTCTGCTGTTAATGTAAATGGCCTAATAGTCCGATCTGGGATCTAGCAGTTAGCTCGTGGCTGTTGCTTTCGTTTTAAAGGTCTCGCAAGCCAGGGAGCTCAGCTACCTTATTTGGAGCTCATATGCCTGACCACTGACCTCATATCTGCTTGTTTGAGTGTTTTTACTTGTCTATATATGGAAAGACTGCTTGGAGAGTAGTTATCTGACCTGAATTAGAAGTAATGCAACATCTGTATCAACAGCTGCTTTTGTCAGGGTGCACTAATTGGGTTAAATCCAGGATGTTAGCTGGTTTGTCTGCAAAGGGGGAACTTGAATCCTGTTGTTTGTTTGGAACTTTATGTATTCTTGCAAACAAGATCCTTCCTTCTGGTGAAGTCAGGAAGAAGAAAGTCAGAACATAAACAACAAGTCTGCCTCAGGAAGCTAATGTTTCATGTATGACTAATTAAATCCAACTTTCCTGTAGTCATGGCAGTGAAGATCCCTGTTTTCCCATTGGTGTCATGGGTAAGCACAATAGGGACACTGGATTAGATGTGAATGGGCTATAAAGAGCAGGGGGAGAGGGAAGGAGGTGGAATAAAAAGCCCAGCTCTAGGGAGTAGATTACAAAACACAGAAGATATAATTGTGCAAGGAAGTGCAAGTCAGTAATCCCCCTTCCCTGCCAACATTATGGGACTACTTCTGTTGCCTGAGGATGTGGGTGTAAGATTTCTTCGACTTAAGGGTATTTGTGGAATATCTGAGGAATGATGATAAACAACCATTAGGTGAAGTCTTTGGTCTCAGTGAATTCAGTGGAACAACTTTTATGGAAATGAGTAGAGCTAGGACGTTACCCTGTGTCATGTGTATCACCTCTCATTGTAAAGCCTCAGGAAGCAACTTGCTGATGATACCTTGAGCATATCTTAAATGCAGCCAACTCTAGAACACTTGGCCAACTAGTGCATTGCACAACAGCAGTGGGAAAAGAGTTTGTCCAAGAAAATTTGACCTAACATCCCTGTTCTTATGAAAATTTCCATGGGATCAGTCTTCTTTCTTAACACCTACTGAACAGGACCTCTTTATAACGTCTCCCCTGATAGACTCTCTCCCTCCCCTTCTCCCCTCCCTGAAATACATTAAGCCAAGTGGTCATTGTTTGTCTGAAGCCTTCCTTCTGAGATTGAAACCTATTAATCTAGCAAGTTCTGGAGTGTGATATATTTAGGGGTTTTAAAAAAAATTTTGGGGTGTTAAGCCAGCAACTTAAAACTGTTCCCTAGCAGATTTTATTGTAGTTAGTTACAGTTACATGAATAATTGTTTTAAAAAAATACAGGCACCGGTTCTGCAAGATGGTTTCCTACCCTTTGGTTTTTGGAGAGAAATTGTTAACAAAAACATCAATGGAGAAAGTTTCAGTCTTAAGTCCCAGTTTAAAAAATACTTTTTGGTATATTAGTCCATGCTTTAAGAATCTGTTCTTCCGTTGCTCAGGAGCCTGAGGGAATATTTTGGTTGTGTCCTTGAACATGGATGCTTGCTACTTGTATGAATGCTACTTTTTAAAAGAATGAGTCATGTCAATCATATGGGGGGCCAAACTGAGTGATTCCTTTTGATAGAAACTCAACCCTTGGCATAACAAGCATAGGGCTTGGTCAAGCTTGCTAGACCGCAGCTGTTTGCTACAGGCCAAGATTGTTAAATTGCTTTGCATTCTATGATAGTGCAGCACATACCTTGATTCTCAAACTTTTGAAACCTAGCAGGAAGAAGGGTTCTGAATTTTCTGAGCTTGTGGCCCTCTGAGAGCAGCTCATTGATTTACATTCTAGTAATCTTCTCTGTCAAGTCAAACACATGTTGTGTGTAGGATACAATACAAATATCCACTTAGCTTTTAGATTCCTCTCTCCTTTGGAATAATGAGCTATTGTGACTCCTGCTTTCAGCCCTGGAGAGATGTGTGCCCCATTGTTTCTGTTGTTTTTGTGGGACTCCATTTGTTTTGAAGGGAGTAAGGGGGGAAATGCAAATTCCATGCTTTCATTCTGCAGAAGGATCTGTAATGTGCTGGTGCTTACTCGTGTAGCAGCATTTTGAAGGCATGCCATTTCAGCAAAGAAATTGGAATCCTAAAATCAGGGGATAGAAGCTTCTCTCTTATTTCTTTACTTGAACCAAAGGAGAGAGTCTTGACTGTCAATTGCAGTAAAACTTCTATCCATACAAGATTAGCAACCCTATATGGCAGTCTAGAGTATGCTAAACTTTGGGACACCCAGAAGAACAATATCTCCCCCTGTTTTCCCCCCCCCATTAGAAGCCAGCCCTCTAATTTAGGGTCTGTTGCATATTAGTGGGGCACTGGGAAGATGTTTGCACAGCTGTTTCACATACCTGGGCTTTTCTATGGAGGACTCGGCTCTCCGAGGGTATTGTTCCGGCTTGTTCCTAACGCTTACAAAAAGTAATCTGAAAGGGGGAGTGAGGAAGGTGCCATGGGGTAATGTTTTTGCTGGAGAAAGTGAACACGAATTTTTAAAGGTTATTCAACAGCACCAAGTTGCCTGCAACATTGGACTTGTATGCATAGAATGTCAGAGGCAGAAAAACCTGCTTGATCACTGACTAGTTTTCTTTTTACTCTTTTATTGTAGATTAAAAAACAGCAGCAAGATGTGTTAGGTTTCTTGGAAGCAAACAAGATTGAATTTGAAGAGAAAGATATTGCAGCCAACGAGGAGAACCGGAAATGGATGAGAGAGAATGTCCCAGAAGATAGCCGACCAGCAAGTGGAAACCCATTACCACCGCGACTGTTCAATGATAGCCGATATCTGGGGGTAGGAAAGGGTTTGAATGATCTCCTTTGCTTCCTTGTTCTGCATTTTTCTGTCTCAATTTTTGCAGCTTACCAGAACAGTTTCTGCACTGCACTCTGTTTTAGCTGTCCTATTTGCAACAGAAAAGAAGAATGCTTATAATGAAGCTTTTAAGTTTGTATAGTATTAACGCAGAAGAGCTATTATATATTTCCTCTTGCCCTGTGGAGTCTTTAATAATATTTATTTTTGCACATTGCATTTCTTCCATTATAGTGGGGCTAGAGCCCATGGGTTTTTTGCTATCTAAAAACCATTAGCCTGTCTACTAGAGAACACTGCCTAGTAGCCAACAGGAGTATTTATTTTTTTTCCTACTGTTCCTTTTATCTTGATTTTTTTTTTCTATAAAAAACAATAATTTTAAACTGTAGATATTTAAAATAATTTTAAAAAGCTCTGGAGATGCACTTTGCAAATACAGAATCTTGCAGTGCTGTGACATCCCTTCCAAATGGGATTTTCTGTAGATGAGAGATTCTTCCCATATGGACTAAGTCTGTCTGTCATTCAACTTTCAAAGGAAATGCTCAAATAGAATGACTTTTGCCATGTCAGCACATGAGCTTTCTTGAACTCGGAGGTAAAAGCTTTCTTGGGTTTAGCTTTTCTGGGTTCTGTTTACAAAATCCAAGGCAATTGTGGTCTGTCTATTCCTGTGTATAGATTTAAAAATCAGGTAGTAAATATAATGTTGATTTAGTTGTTGACTATTTTGAATGCTTTTTCTGAAGTATGTTGTTCTACACTAATGGTGCACATCACTGCTCAGCAGGCCACATACTCTAAAAGGTGTGAATTTATTCATAAGTGTGAACTTTTTATTATTGATGACTTAATGTGTGTGGAAGACTGACGAACATACGGACTAAAAACATACAGAGCAGGCTCTTTCTTTCCAGACTTCTTTCATAAACTTCTCAAGTGCACCTGGGCTTTGAACTGCAGTTTGTTTTTCTTTTAATCCAAACCTGAATCACTCTGGAGCATGTTATTTGTATAGTGAGTGGCTGACATGCTGCCTTGCCACCAGGAGCAAGAGGGTTTGCTTTGCAACTCAGTCACAAGTGGCTACATTTTCAGTATTTTAAGGGAGGTGTACATGTAAGCCATTGCACCCAATGTCCCTCACATATAGCTTAACTACCTTCTGTTATGACTAGGACTGTTTGTTGGGAAGGAAATGTTAATAAATATATGCAGGTTTCTATGCGAACATCTCTCTTAGAGAGTACTTCTTTGGCAAAAGTGAAACTGACATTCATTTATATCTAGTATTGCCTGCCTGCCTTCCCACAGTACTACATAGCATTTGCTTTGGTGGGCACATTACTGTGCCAATATCCTTTATCAATTAAATGTAGCCAGCTTCCTGCTGTAGTGTTGCAGCTGTCCACCAAAGTATAACATTTCATGGTAGTGCAGGGCAGGAAGTGAAGAAAACTGCATGCATGCAGCTATGCTGGGAGGTGTACTCATCGCAAGTATTTCTAATGCACCAATGATTATAGTATGATAGTTTCATACAGAGGTAATATATGATGGGCTTAGAACTACAGCTAGAGCAAGCTCTCTTTCTTAACTACTGCCTGCTTTGGTAGGGCTTGCTTGCTGCGTTTTGTTGTAATTTGTTGGAAAAGCAAAGGCTTTTAAAATCAGTTTTACTGTCCTCTGAAAAATGGCCAGATTTGGGGATGTTTTATCTGCGCTTGTAGGCTTTTCATACTTGAGCTTTGGGGACTGTACAAGGACGGTACCATGCTGAGTACACTTGGCTCTTTAGTTGCTAGAATCTTTGAGCAAAGAACTGGATAAATTTGCTGCATGTGGCATGAAAAAGAGAGGGAGAGGCCAGAACATCAGGGGAGAAAATGTGATTAGCGACTACATGGACTGCTGCAGGAAAGGAAAAGCAAAAAAACCAAAAAAACAACAAAAAAACTCCACTTCCCCTTTAAGAGAATGGGAGATTTGATTTCCAGGCCACAACAAGCCTAATCCCTCCCTTGAACCTTTTAATTACTGAATCCTGAATCGCTGGTGGCATCCTGCCACTTTTTTGTTCTCTCACATTGCTTTATATGAGGCAACAGGCTGTGGCGGTTCTAAATTAGAGAGTCCAGAGGGCAAAGAGGGGACCCACTTAGTCATGGGGCTTTGGGCTCTGTACTGGAGTTCTACAGTATTTACTAAATAGATGCATGTGTATACAGTCGCTGGACGTGTGTGTGTTTGAGGTTGAGGGAACTCTGAACTTGCTTTTGCTTCAGGATATGTAGGGCATTGTCATCTTGTTCTGAGGGACCTGATAGCATTGTGCCCTGTGTTCTCAAAGGAAAATTGTTTCAAATATCTTTACCTACTGGGCTACAGTGAAGCAGCCAGAGAGCACTGTCCTTTCAATGAGGTCTTTAATTTTGTAGTGAGTGTATGCAAACCAACTACGTGTAAGATTATCCTTTGGATAATTTTAGTGAGTTTTTCAGGAGCATTTGTTGATGTAGTCTCCAGCTGCAGTGTATATGAATGCAGTAATTCAGGAGCAAAGCAGTATGTCATTTCATGGGGCATTATGCATTCCTCACAGCCTGTCAGTCTGATATTGAATGGGTCAGGTGGCAGACAAGCAGATTTTTCACCAGTCCACATAATTGTTTCTATAGAACAGTGATTCTCAGCCAGGGTATGTCAGATCTTTTGAGGTGTGCCCCTAGGTGTGAGGAGGTGTGAAGAGATAAGTAGATAATCACAGGCTCGGGCTTGCCTCTGCCTGGATGATTCCTCACCCCTGCTGCCCAGTCTCTCTGCAGGGAGGTAACCATTGTAATATATAAATTAATTTTTGAAACAAGAGTGCCACTTAATTCACAGAAGTTATTGAGGGATGCCTTGAGTCCAAAAAAGTTGAGAACCACCGATATAGGGTTTTAACCCTGCAAGGTGCTGAGTACTTTCAGTGAAGTTAATGGGAGATAATGAAACTACTTGGGTCCTAGAGTAGATGTCATTTTGTTTTTGCATGTAAAGGAAGTTCAGCTGGGACAGAAATTCCAGAAAGCAGTATTGTACTGCTTCAGAAAGTCTTATCAAAGACGAATAAAATTAGATTAGGATCTCCCAATCAAGTTGAATTCAACTTGAGGGAAAAGAAAACCTTAAGTGTACATCCTTCCTTTGGTATCTTTATCAGATT